TTTTTCCAGATGGCATCCATTTACTGGAGTCCCGAGCCACAGGATGTGAACCCCATGTAGCCACAGGAATTTTTAATCATTCCCTTTAACTAAAAATGCCATATGGTACTCTGCGATTGTGCGCCTTAAAGGGGGCTCTGCAGTTTAGTGGTTAATTATGACAGTACCATTTTTTCCTTTGTTTTGCCTGGTGGGGGTCTGCCCCCCCCCCCCCCTCGGTCATTGTCCTCCCTCTATTCTGATGGTCCCCTACTAGGCCCCCATGATTGTACACATCGCAGGGATTCAGCTTTAGACACTCAGTCTGGGCAAACCGGTTAGCAATACCTTGCCAGGATATTGCTAAATAATAAAAATAAAGGGGGAACATGGCATTAAAATGGCAAATATACAATTTGGTCAACAAACAGTATTGTTTAAAATAGACATGGGTTGACATTTAGGGGTCGAGTAGGTTACAGGGAGTTAAATTAGGTAGTGCTTAGTTTTTATCTTAAAACAGGTTGGGAGAGGTACAGTAACATAATTGGCAAGGTCATTCCACCTTCTGGGTCCCTTGATTTGTAGAGCATTTCTAGTTTGATTAAGTCGTACTCTTTGAATATCAAATAGGTATTTGTTTCTGGTGTGGTGCTCATGGGTTCTGTTACAACCTTCTAGGAAGCTTTTAAAGTCAGGATTGACATTCCAGTTCAGCATTTTACACAGAGGATGTGCAGTGACTTAATATCTAACATTCAGAGATTTGAGTAGGGGTACCAAGTGATGTCTGGGGCCAGAGTTGGATATAGTCCTAATTAGCCGCTTTGTGGTGAGTAAGATGATTTAAATCATTTTGGGTAGTAGAACCCCAAGCACAAATACCATAGTTGAGATAAGGATAGACGAGGGAGTAATAGAGCATCACCCGGGCAGGGTGAGGTACATAATATCTGATCTTAGAAAGAATAACAGTTTTTAAAACTGATATATTTGGAATGTGTCCCTGGAAATTCAGCTTGTGGTCAATGAGAATGCCAAGGAATTTGCCATCTTTGTTACAAATTTGGGTATTGTTTATCCTGAGATTTATGGGATTTGAGAATTTATTGCCAAAAAAATAGAAAGTTTTGTCAATGTTGAGGGTGAGTTTGTTGGCAGTTAGCCAAAGACACTATTTAGCTCGGTATTCACCGACATTTAGAGCAAAAGGGGGGGGGGGGGGAGTCAGGACTGGAGTAAATGAAGGTTGTGTCGTCAGCAAATAGAATTAGTTTGAGGTGTTGGGAGGCATTTGGAAGGTCATTAATGTAGATGAGAGGAGAGGAGAGGGCCAAGTATGCTGCCCTGAGGAACACCAATGTTGATGGGTAGGGTGGGAGAAATTGAATTATTATTCACAAACATACTGGAGCCTGTCAGTAAGGTAAGATTTAAGGTATTGCAGGGGAGTGTCCTCTGACTCCATAATGATGTAATTTAAGAAGGTTTTGGTGGTTGACAGTGTCAAAAGCCTTATGCAGGTCCACAAATAACCCAACAGAACTCATTTTTATCAAGAGCTGAATGTATCAAGTTAATCATACTAATAAGTGCATAGTGAGTGAGTTTTTTTGGTCTGAAGCCATATTGACAAGAGCCAAGTATATTGTGTTTGGCTAGATAAGAGTAAAGCTGCTTGTAGATTAGTTTTTCAAATATTTGACAAGATTGATATAGGTTTGTAGTTAACATCAGAGAGATGACCACATTTGTGGACAGGGGTTACTCTCACTTTAGAATATCTAAAAAGGTTTGGCATTCAAGTGACTTGTTTAAGAGCAATGCAATGTCGTAGCTCAGTCAATTAAGGCAGTGTCTGGGATGATCTCTGACGTAGGTTCGAATCCTCGTCACGGCCCTTGTGGATTTGTTCATGCATCACATTGTGATTTCTGTGTGTAATTATGTTTGTAATTCTTTGCCTATATGTACTCTTACCCGAATAAAAATGAATTTTTTGAATTTTGAATTTAAATTTTAGTCCCTAAGCCCATTATGTGCCTCTAACCCTTTCTACTACTATCCACAAGATGGGTATGGGGTGCAGATGAGCTAGTTTCAAGCAGTCTTCATCGACCTAGCAGCAGCTTCTGATACAAACAAAAAAATCATACTAGAACAGCTTACTGAGCTTGGAATACAAGGAAAATTACTGAAATCAATGGAGGGCTTTTTGTCATCAAACAGCATATTAAAGCTGTTTAATGGCACAGAGAGCAAACACTTTGAACCGAGAATGCCACAAGAGGGATCCTCAGTCCCTTGTAGTTTAAGGTTCTAATGCATAAACTACTAATAAAGACACGATCATCTGTTATGCCGATATAGTGTATGTTTACAGGCTGCCTCCGCGCCTAGAATGCAAGGTCTGCTCGATGATTTTGCTATTAGGGCCGAGGAATGTGCCCTTATCTCCATACAGAAAACTCGTGCCCTCATTCGATGTGGTATTTCCACCACCCACTACATTTTTATATGGGATTAATAGAACAGGAACCCGGCAATGTGATTTTATAGTGGCCAGAATACGCCTGGGATATAAACGTATCTGGCAGCTTTCTCAAAACCCAATTGTCGAGTACTGTACACAATGTGTCAACTTTGTGAAAGAAAACATGCACTCTTGAACATTATATTGTAAAATGTCCCATATTGACCAACTTTCGCCCTCCTGGGCTAAGGTATGCTCAACTGTGTAATTACTATACGAGTACTGGAACACCGATATATTGGACTTGTACCCAAGATTAACCATGTAATGTATCAATTATACAATGTATGTGATGTAACTATATAACCTGAGCTTGTAAAAGCACCTTAATCACCTTAAGTGATTAAATGCCTAATTGCACACTAGAGTATCAGCTATCTCACCCTGTCAGTAAAAGAAATGTGAATGCATGTGTGTATATGTACGTATGTGTGTGTATGTATGTGTGTATATAGTATATATGGAAGCTGAATTACATTTCACCTTTGTAAATGCACATTAATGACACTATATAAAAGACACATCGAGCCCTATGTAGGGCATACGTAAATCTGTATCTATGTATTTACGTATGTAGGTTAGCTTAGCATTTTAAAAGCACCAAATCATCTGTGGTTGAGGTTAGCTTAGCATTTTAAAAAGCACTGAATCATCTGTGGTCGATTGTTCACCTGAACTACATGTTTAACACATCTCTAACCCTGTCCATGGAGAACAGAAGAAATTGTATATATGCTGGTTAGCATTGTAAATGTGTGGCCACATCTGTGGTAGAAAAAAAACTTAAGAATGGTAGTGGACTTACTTACTGTGACTCGCAGAGTGCACTCCTGGCACTGAACAGTACAGTAGTACGACCCAGAAAATAGTGATATACAATGAATGTTTTAGCTGCTAATGAAATGACCACTGCTTTTTGCACAAAAAGCAGCGATATTTCTGAGGGGGGGGAAAAAAAAAAAAAGTGCACTGCGCAATCCGTAGTTGCAGTGTGGGGGGTACTGGGTGGCATATACTGTAAATAGCCGGGAGAAGCGCGGACCTGCCCTCACTGTTCCTGCCCCGGTCCGCTGCACTAAACTCTAGCCCGCCTTCCCTTCCTGCAAGGGTCTGCTTTCCCTGTCATGCATTACGCCAGTTGCCCCTCCTGTTTCTACTCCCGCTGCAAAAAGGGGAGGGGGGGGGGGGGTGCAGCGCCAGTCCCCAAGTGTTCCGCTGTTTGCAGCTAATACTTTGCCTTTACAGCCAGTCTACGTGCTAGTAAGCCCTACCTTCAAGTCAGGAAATCCTTATCTCCTTTCCTTGGCGGCACGGCCTCACACCCTGGGGTTAAATTTATCACCCATTGTCATATCAGGTTTTTCCCCAGTCTAGGTATTTTCTGCACGCCTGATTAATTTCCGTTTAATTCAGCTAGGATTTACCATTATGTCTTTCAGGCCTCTTGGTCGGGCTTCATTAAGTGTTATGTGGTTTAATCACTTTATATTTACTCTGTCCTGCCTGTTATACATAGTGTTACCTCAAGGGATGACACCGATATGCTAGCATAGACAGCCCTGTAGAAAACCACTAGTAGAAATTGATATGGGGTTTCATTACGTAACACTACTTTAATCTGTCAATTGTCAATATATATGGAACTAATTGAACAAGAACTCAGCAATGTCATGTTATAGTGACCAGAATACACCTGGGATACACACACATCTGGGAGATTTCTCAAAGCCTAAATGTGGAATACACCATGTATCAATGTCCATACATGCAACATGCATGGACAGGACCTTGTGTGCGGCACCTGAATTTACCAGAGAGCTACTACTATCTAGAGGACAAATTAGCAGGGTTATGAAACCTAACTGCATCCCCCACCATTTGTCCTAATTTGAGACCGATATCTATGTAGCTTATTAAAAACATTTTTGAGTCCCGGCAGTACAGCCGGGTTCGTCCTAGACTTTCAGTCTGGAATTTTGGGTTCGAATCCCGACCAGGTAGGGGCGGCTGACAGCTGCGTGGACAGCACTTCAGATTCATAGTCCTGAGGTTCCAGGTTCGATCCCCGGTGTAGGCAGAGACAAATGGCCAAAATGTTTCTTTCACCCTGACGCCCCTGTTACCTAGCAGTAAATAGTTACCTGGGAGTTAGACAGCTGCTACGGGCTACTTCCTGGTGGGTGGAGGCCTGGTCGAGGACCGGGCCGCGGGGACACTAAGCCCCGAAATCATCGGCTGTGTATTCATATCACTTAATTGGCCTGTTCATCTACCAGTAAACAGGCACCTTGTTGTGGGGAATGAATGACATACATATATACACTGGACCTAACCTTAGGTGTCACGGGCTCACCATAGCCCGTTCAGTAGCTAAATCTGATACCACAACAACCTTAGGTCTTATACATTTAGACCTAACCCCCTAAACACAGTGAAGTATTAAAAAAAAAAAAATCAAAGTCAAACTAGTAGGTACAGAGGTACCTACCGGCAGTCAGGGAGCTCCAACGGGCAGCGTGTTGCTCGGACCGCGGCCAGGAGGCGTCTGCTGGGGCGCCGAGGCGCGCCTCGTTCACGGCCGAGGGATAACAACCCAACGAGCCTCTTAATGAAGGAAGCATTTCTCTAATATTTATTCAAATTCAAAATTCAAATACAATATATATATATACTGGTACTGTGGTCTGCCCCGGGTCAAGAGTACCCAATCTTCTGCAATCTGACTGTAGGAGGACAAAGAGGGCCATAGTTCCTCTAGCTCGAACTTTAGTTGCTGAATTGGGACCTCAGCAGCAGTTCTCGTCACCAGTTGACACCTCGCACCCCTACACGTCAGTCAGAGATGATGATACATACAACGGTAGGGAATTAGCTTACTTTTCAGAGCACAAAAGTTCGATAATTCTGTAAGTATCATACTAAATTCAGTAGGAAAAACTTGCTTTATGTCCTATAGAGACTTGGCAAGGTATGCCTACATCCTTGGACTACCAATTTTACTTTTGAGGCAATTTACTGTTTCATTTGTTTTCGAAACTCTGTTTCATTTGTTAGTAGGATTTTCTTGCCCTTATCCTCTTACATGAGTACCGGGTACAAGATTTCCTGCGCCCTTGATTTAATTTAATCATTTAACATCTTTTACTTAACTTTAATAGTTAAAGATCTCACAGGATAGGTACCAGTTGCCACGTTGTCCTGTTTCTGACATTCACTATTGAATATTCGTGTACCTTTATTTGCTAATTTCACCATGTTTCGTCTCCAAGCTTTCCGTACAAATCCAGCAGGTGAAATAGGGACTTTAAGTCGTGCCAAGAAGACTGAATTACAAACTCTTGCACATGAGTATCAACTAGAAGTTCCCTACCAAGCCAACAAAAATGACCTACACAACCTGTTGCTGGATTACTATTTAGAGCAAGGTAAGATAGACTCTGAAACTCATGAAACTTACTATATTGCAGAAAAAACTGATTTGGCAACGCTGAAACTCAAACTAGAGCTGGCCAAGATTGAACGTGAGCAGCAAAGAGAAGCAGCTGCCATACGTAGGGAAGAACAAGAACGAGAAATCACCCTCAGAGAACGTGAAACTGTTTTGAGGAGAGACGAACAAGAACGCGAGGCCGCTTTGAGGAGAGAAGAACACGAACGTGAGGTCGCATTACTCCGTGAACGTGAACGAGTACAGCTTGAAACCAAACAACGCGAGTTGGAGATACAACGTGAACATGACAAGCAACAAGCGACTCTGGCTCTTGAGTGTCGTCAACGAGAATACACGTTGGAAACTTCACACCTCGCTCAACGCCAGCAAGCTACTGCCAATCTTCCCGTCAGTTTTAATATATCACATGCAAGTAAGTTAATGCCATCCTTTGTAGAAGCAGAAGTTGATGTGTTTTTCACCACCTTTGAAACTCTTGCTAATCAACTCAGTTGGCCTGTCGACCAATGGGCCACACTTCTCAGAGTCCATCTTACAGGTAGAGCTGCAGTCACACTCAGTACTTTGGCGTCTGAGAATGACTACCACACTCTGAAACAAGCAGTGTTGGACGCCTACCTACTTTCCACCGAAAGTTATAGAAGGAAATTCCGTGACCACCTGAAGGCAAGTACCACTACCTTCCTTGAGATTGCTAACACGAAACGGAGGTATTTCATGAAATGGCTGGAAGCAGCACATGTCTCTACTTTTGCAGAACTCGTCAACCTGATGCTTGTTGAAGAATTCTTGAGACGTGTGCCGCCTCCTGTCCGCCTCTACTTAGCAGATAAAGAAGAAACCGACTACCTGAAGTGTGCTAAGTCGGCTGACACTTACAGCCTCATCCACCGGCTGACACCCGAACCATCCTCCAGTAAGAAGTCGTGGTACAGTTACGAGAAGGTGAGCCCCGATCAAGCTGGTTCACAACTGTACTGCAAGTATTGTAGACTCTATGGACATACCATAGACAAGTGTGGTAAGTCTCAATACAAGGGAATCACTGACCAACAAAGACCCAAACCAACTCCTCCTAAGTCCGGTAAGCCTGAGATGAATGTTGGTGTTGATGTTAATGATCTTTCTCTTTTCAGTAACCACCTGTATACTGGAACTGTCTCTGCCAACGGTTCAAATCCGGAGGGACGTTTCAAATTGAAGATCTTGAGGGACACAGCGGCTCTACAATCGATCATCTTGAAGTCGGCTGTGCCCAACATCACCTACACCGGAGAAACTGTCTTCATCACTGACCTCACTGCTACCACTCCATACCCTCTCGCCAGAGTCCACCTGGATTGTCCCTACGTGAACGGGGATGTCCAAGTCGCCGTCAGGGAAAAGCCTTTTCCCATGCCTGGAGTGCAACTTCTCCTAGGCAACTACTTGGCAGAAGACCTGCAACCGACCAACCTGATCGTCATGGACAAACCCCAGGTGTGTAACTCTGTGCCAATAAACCCTATTCTAGAGTATGTTCCAGCAGAGGTTCAAGAGAGTGATGAAGTTTCTCCTCCGGTTCTCGTGACCACCCGTGCACAAGCCGCACGTCCACAGCCAGCTGACTCTACTGCTACCGCTGTCCCTCAAGACCCTCAGAAACTCCCCCCGCATCTGACCAAGTTGGAGTTCCGTAAGTTGCAGAGGGAAGATCTTACTTTAACACCATTGTTTTTCCAGGCTGAGACTCAACCCGACAGTATTCCTGGGTTCTTCCTAGAGAACGACTTGCTCTACCGCAGATATAGACCCAGTAAACTGAAGGAGGAGGACGATTGGGCCAACATCGAACAACTTGTGATTCCCACCAGCCTGCGGCCCACTATTCTACACCTGGCCCACGGAGCATTCTCCCACTACGGCTTCAACAAGACTTACCATGGAATTCGTCAAGACTACTACTGGCCAGGTATGGTAAATAACGTCAAACAGTACGTAAAACAGTGTCATACATGTCAGTTGGCAGGCAAACCGAACATCTCCATTCCCAGAGCGCCACTGATTCCCATACAGGTGCCTGCGGAACCTTTCCACAGACTCATAATAGACTGTGTTGGTCCTTTACCTCGGACCAGTTCAGGTAACGCCTACATCCTAACCATCCTGTGTCCTACCACCAGATTTCCCATAGCAGTTCCAGTGAAGAACATCACAGCTGCTACGGTTATAAAACATCTATTGAAGATCTTCACTCAATACGGATTTCCCTGGGAGATTCAAAGCGACTGTGGTACCAACTTCACCAGTGATCTCTTCAAAAGGACACTGGAGGAGTTCAACATCAAACAGGTATTGTCCAGCCCCTATCATCCTGCTTCACAGGGTTCTCTTGAACGTAGTCATCAGACTATCAAAGCACTCTTGAAAAAGTTTTGTAGTGAAACCTCGAAGGATTGGGATAAGCAGATTGACCTTATAATGTGTATTTTCAGAAGTCTCCCCAATGAGTCCCTAGGAGTATCTCCTTATGAGATGCTCTACGGCCGTAAGTGCCGTACTCCCCTTAAGGCTTTCAAAGACCCTCTCCGAGATGCCACCTTCAGTGAGCATCAGAATGTGCCCCAGTTTCTTCAAAACCTTCAACACATTCTAGAGAGAGTCCACCGTTTTGCCCATGATAATCTATTGAAAGCCCAGGAGAGAATGAAGACTCATTACGACCAGACCAGCAAAGTAAGAAAATTCAAGCCGGGAGACTTCGTCCTTGCCTATTTCCCTATCCCAGGTTCACCTTTACAAAACAGGTTTTCAGGACCCTACTGCGTCAAAGAGTGCAGGAATAATAACAACTACGTAATAGAGACTCCAGATAGGCGGCGGAAGACCCAGCTGTGCCACGTCAACCTCCTGAAGCAATATAATGGTACTCCTCCCACTGTCCTGACTAACTATTCCACCTTCACAGAACCCTACATCCACAGTGAGACCTTCCCAGCTTCTCCTCCCGAAAGCACTGACAAGGAGTCAGCGCTTTCTAATTCCGAAATCCTTAATGATCTTCCCAAATACTTTCAGGATAATTATAGTGCACCTCTCGTCAAGATCTTCAGAGAACATCAAGAGTTGTTCCGAGATGACCCCCAAGAGTGTAATGTTACCCAGCACGACATCCAACTGCTCCCCGACACCCGGCCGATTCGTCAACCCTTCTACCGAATCAGCCCGAGCAAGAAGGAAGTCATGCGTGCTGAGGTGCAGTACCTCTCGGATCATGGACTGGCTACACCTTGTGAGTCCCCCTGGGCCTCACCTTGTATCTTGGTGCCCAAACCCCAAGGTAAGGTGCGGTTATGCACTGACTATCGTAAACTGAACAATGTCACTGTCAAGGATGCTTACCCCTTGCCAAGGATAGATGACATCCTTGATGCCATTGGTAGTGCCCAGTACTTGTCCCAAGTAGACTTGCTTAAGGGGTACTATCAAGTGTGTCTAACGGAGCGCGCTAAAGAGATATCTGCCTTCATCACTCCTTTTGGACTTTTCAGATATGAACGCCTTCCTTTCGGACTATGTAATGCCCCGGCCACCTTTCAAAGAGCTGTCAACCGTGTCATCCAGGGCTTGGATAACACATACGCCTACCTGGACGATATCGTCGTAGCCTCCAACACCTGGAGTGAACATCTGCTCCAGCTGCGACGTCTGTTCTCCAAGCTCCTGACAGCCGGCCTCACCATCAACCTGGGCAAGTCCACTTTCGCGAAAGGTAAAGTGCGTTATCTGGGTCATGTTATTGGGAGTGGCAGCATAGCTCCGTTAGACTCACACACTCAAGCCATCCAACAGTATCCACAGCCTACCACCAGGAAGCAGCTCCTGCGCTTCCTTGGTCTTGCCTCTTACAACCGTAGGTTTGTGAGGAATTTCAGTACAGTCGCCACACCTCTAATTCTATTAACCAGTCCCAAGCAACGGTATAATTGGACCATGCAGCAAACCGTTGCTTTCGAACAACTCAAATTCCTCCTCTGTTCTAACCCCATTCTCGCCTCTCCAGATATCACCAAGCCTTTCGTCCTTCATGTCGACGCCAGTGGTACCGGCGTTGGTGTCCTGATGCAACAACGAGGCGAGGAGGTTCTACCTGTCAGCTACTACAGCTAC